TTTTTGTATGCTTTATAACGAAACATTAATATCATAACTTATTTTAAGATGAATATAATATATATGAAATATATTAAAAAAATAAATTATATTTATATCTATATTAATTTATTTTCTTAAGTTAAAATGGTGGTAATTTGAAATGTTACCAAAGTTTTGGGGATTATAAATGTTAAAATTTGAGGTTTAGGTGTTACATGTGATTTAAGAAATATTAAATTATTTAAATAGTAATTAATTAATGTAATAATTATTCAAGAATATGGAAAAGAATAAAGAAATGTGTTTTGCAAAGTATGGAACATATAAAAAATATATATTATTTCTTATTGAAAATTATTTTATTTTATTTTATTTTATTTCTTATTGGAACATACAAAACATGGAACGTATAAAATTTTTTTTTCGTTGATAATGAGGGTCATGCCCAACTTTCTTTAAAAGTAACAGAAGATATTGCGCGATATAGAGAGTTACAAGGGTCAAAGAAACGAGAGAATATTACGTACGGAGTATGTATACATGTGAACTCCATCCGCATCACAGTTGTGCGTTGTTGTAAATGAACTCTGCATGCATACGAACTCTGCATGTAAGAAATACTGAGAAGCAACAAAAGTAGGAGAGAAAAAAAAGTACACTGAAGTTAAACAAAATAAAAGACCGTATAAAATACAATTTTATCAAAGATATGGCTCCATCGAAGAATAACAGGATGAACAACACCATCTATCAACAGGAGGATTGATGCGTGCTAGAAAATTCGTGGCAGTAGAGTAGCAGATTATCGTCTTAGCGTGGTACAAAGATTCAGCACACACTTCGAAAAGAGAAAGCAACTAATAATGACACAAAAAATTTTTACTTGTAAAACTAAAAAAAGAAAAAAATCACAGGATCGACTTAGCTGAAGAGTTACACTATAAAAAGATAATTACAATAATTAAACTAAGTTATCATTTTAGGCAACTAGAAATCATTTCATCCAAATATAATGCACCTCAGAAAGTTTTAATGCTGACTCGACAACTGGAATGATAAGAGAATAATTATTAAATATTAATTTGCAACATTTGAACGTTAAAATTTAATTATCTTGACGTATTTGATCGTTTGAAATTAGAAAATATGATTTTAAATTAATGTTTTTTTTAATTTTTTTTTAAAATTTTCTTTATATAGTTTTAAATAATATTAATTCTTAATTTAACTGCCAATAGAAAAGTCAATATTGCTGCTAGTAAAAATATTATAAAATTAATCAAATAAGTCATAAATTCAGATAAAAAGTGTTTATTTTAAATATTTAATATCATCAAAATTAATGCGATTATCATTAAAAAAAAATAAAAATTAATGTTAGCCATGCGAAATTAGCTATGCAATAAATGATCATTTATGAATAGAATTAACAATAGAAGTAAAGTTTAATTGTTAAGCATAAAAATATAATTATTAGTCGCATTTTGATGGCTAATGTTGATATGTCATCAAGAAAAATTTATTAATCAAATCCAAATTTTGATGTAATATTTAAATTGAAATGATCAAAATGAAATTTAAGATATATCTAAACTTCATCACATAATAAATTTATGGAAGAATATTTGATAATATAAATCTAATAATATTAAAGTTATTTGATATTATATAACAAAGATATGCAAACTGAATCTCTCAGCGGGATGGCCCGATCTCCTGGACAACCGACCCGACCTTGCGAACTTGAAGTCAATTAAACTTAGCTGGCTGAGCAATAAAGCGCTCGAATGATTTGCTCATACATATAAAATATCAGAAATACCCTATTATGAACATCTTCAAAGCTGAGGGAAAAATATAATATCGTTCTTGTGTACCCTATTATGAATCATTTTATGAATAAGATACAAATGATCATTACTTTGGCTGAGCTTGACCCCATGATTTTTTTCATTTTAGGGTTTTTTAAGTAAAAATTTCTGACGTCACCTTATGGTACCTTTTATTTATTTGCATGTGTGATAAATCTTCATGTAACACTATGACATTACAGTTCACTCTATCACCGCAAATCTCCTGACATACAAGAAACATATAATTTAATAGAGCTACTAGAATTTGATTTAAATAACCTCAAAATTATTTTAAAAATAATATATAGACTTCCATTTTATTCATGAGATACAAATAAAGGTTGGGAGAGCTTACAAATTTTAAAAATGCTAAGATTTGACTCCCTGATAATCATGATTGCTTAGCCGATATTATATGAACATAATCATCAAATAGACAACATCGATCAAACCTGCATCATCCAATCACCATTGCCAACACAACTTATGTATGGCGACAGTAATAACGTTCATCCCTATATTGTCAGTAAGGCCGATGTACACAATAGACACTAGCATCTACATTCAATAATGTCATTAAAATTTTGACTCGCCATTGTTTATGATGTTGAAGCTCATCATCACTGATAAACTTCCACGACATCGTAGTTACTATTGTTGATGTTTTTTATAGCTAATAAGGTTGATGCAATCCATTGATAATACAAGTACTCACCATTGCTAACAAAGCTAATGCAAATTATCGATACTGACAATTGCTCCAATGATACATACAAAATATCATAAAGTAATCACTCACTGATGTCATTAAACTAATAGCCAGCCATAGGGTAAAAGTCTACTATCATTAATATGAAGTTGAAGCATATCATGGGCAACAATATCGTACCCATCAAAGCCAATAAGTTCATCTTATATTACTACTAATTAACAATATAAATACCCACTAAAACCAATGAAGTTATCTTTCTCCACCACCAAGAATATTAACTTATATCATCTTTCATAAATTTATTGCATGTCATTGATAATGCCTTTTATATTTATTCTCATTTATAAGGTTGATGTATGCCAATGATATCAATATTTTTGTCAGTGTTAGTGCTAACATCAATCAAAGTCAACA